GGTCAGTAGCCATCCATGAACTACGGGACCGAGTTCCGGCATTAGTCGACGGATGTAATCTCGTTGAGAAGGTGTCATTATTGGTGAGATGAGCTCCAAAATAAAAGGAAGTGTTGATGGAGTCTGAATTGTACAATTTACATGCAGACAAAGCACGCGGTACTCAGTTACAACTAAGATAAAGTCTAATACAGAGGAGGCACACGTACAATACCAAACTAATGTGCAGAAGTTCTGCAAACTGAGTCTGCCGTAACAGGAAAGGTGAAGGACTTCGTCTTCTACTCTGTGGGTAAGGATAGGAGAGGTGAAGGACTTCCGAAGTGGGTGACCCGAACTTTTCATGCCAAATTGATCATAACTGTTATCCTAGTTTTGCACAAGAGACTACTAAAGCTTCCCTTATCGGATTTCTACAGAACATTTTCCGGCACTATTCAACTTTTACAACCCCAAAAATCTCAGTTTTTCTGTCGAAACCTGAACCTCAGGTGTAAACATCACCGCTGGTGTCATTCAGCGCCAATAGGTGTCAATTAAGCCCTACTAACCTTTCCTCTGAAGTCGATAGCAACTTGTACGGAGTTTTTTTTGGGTCCTAATCACGAATACAATGTTTATTTTTGGCCACACTCATCTGGCGCTGAAATGGTCTTGAAGGCGCCAACTGGCGCTACGACTTTTTCACAAAGAGATCGTTGCAACTTCGCATTGGAGGCTTATTTCACGCTCTGAGCGACATGAGTGTGGCATTCAATTCTCAGCAAAGTCGATGTTAACTTCCATGGTAGGTTCTCTGTGTGAGAGTACTGCCCGGGCAAGACTTTTGCTTATAACACAGCGTTCTTGTGATTCCATGATGGGTTTATTTGGAGTTCTGGTTAGGAAGATTCATTTTCCAGCGTCGGTGCAAAATGCCGCCATATTGGTGAAGACGGGAACGTAGGAGAGTTGGGAGCAGGATACGCTGCCGCGAGGCTAAGGCTGCTAACGCGTCCCGTTGCATTTCTGGCCTAAGGCTCAGCCTGAGAACGTGAATGCAGCTCACTCCAGACCTCTGGCCTTAGAAACGGGGTCAAATGGCAGGCCAAATCAGGAAAGAAATTCTTAATCAGGAAACCTCGAACTGCAATGGCAGCTACACACAGTTCCAGATCGAAAAGGCGGTGGCGACAAATAACAGTGCCAGGGAAATGTTGTGTTTTTTTCTGTTCGCAACGCTGTATCACAAAATGTTAGATCTTTATCAATTTATGGCAGAAATAGGGTAGCAACCTTTAGCGGAGCGCAAAAATAATGTCATGCTAGTGATCAGGGCACTAAACACAATCTCAGCGGTTGATGTTTCAGCGAAAAAGATTTCTGGGATCCTGGAAGATTTTACAGGTGCTCTATTGGTGTCAGTTAATGATGCCCTCTATCTAACGGAGGAAAAGGAGGTAAGACAGTGCTCACATGGGTTAAGAAGAAGCAAGCGATGATGGCAAGCACGGTGATAGTGACTTTTCGGTCGCGCTTCTGACGCGAGTCAGTGTCTCTAAAACGATACAGTAGACATTGGATGTAAGATACAGCGGTCCGTCAACTGACCTGAGGAATTCGTCATTGGGATCATCGGTGCTGGTCTTTATGTCCGCTTCTCTGTGTGACGAGTACAGCTACTGCGCCCTCAAACACAAGAATGATCTCAAATCAAAACTTACAATACCGATTAGTGGCAGAATCACGACCAGAATTATTTGCAACGTCTTCAGGATTGTAACTACTCGTACTTGAAGACTGGAGATGTAGGGAACTAGCTGAAAAGACACTTAGTAATCTCCACGTTGTCCCTTCTTGTAACCTCAGCATGATGTCGAATGTTTGATTACTTCTGCCAAAGGTTTTGTTTAAAGATGAAACCCGTTGATTAGCCATGACATTTTCAACCCATTCTCGTCTTCTTCGTCAACGTTAGCCAATAAGAAGGTTTCATCAACCTCGTCGTTTGGCAGCAATTAAACATTTGAAAAGACACTGTTTCTCATGATAACTTGTGTAACGATACAGTTTGCGCTCAATGTCAACACAAGAGTGCTGACTTGTGGGCAAAGCTCGCACCACAGGCGGGACTCGAACCCTCAGCTCACACACAGTGAGTAACTGGCACGTAGGTGCGGGTTCGAGTCCCACGTCGGGCCTGACTTCTATCCAGCATTTTTGTGAAAAGGAACAGACTGTACTGGCTTCTGAGTAGTACAAAGCTGAAAACTGACCCGGTCTATCGGGACAAGTTTTCCATAGGTGAGCGTTCCGTTGCACATGGTAGCATAGCCGTACTTGTACTCGAAGTGATGAAAAGCGGTCAGCGATAAGACTTCCCACCACAACTATCATCATCAGATATCGTACTCGTGATTCTCGCCATTCTCCTCGTGCATGCATCGGAGAGGAGATGCCCAAATACCTGTCAACACAAATGGTTTCCATTAACCAGAAAGAGCAAGCAAACCCTTAAGACCTTCGAAATGTATAGCTTTCCTTTTTTGAGTGCGTCAAACATGCGACCTTTATTATCAGGTTGTCGGAAAAGATCCCCCGAATAACATCCGTCTGGCTAGACAACATGGTTACTGGTGACGAAAAGTGAGTTGTTTACGTAAATGCGGAAGTGGAAACACCAGTGGACGGATGTGGCCAACCTGGGATTTCCTCGCATAAATCTAAAGTCCTTTGGGAAGTTTGAGACAAATCTACAACAGCTAAAAGCTCTAATTTTATCTAGCTTGTCTACACCACTACACAATGTTGTTTTAAAGGCCATTATGTCTATCAACTGCAATTCTGAACGAACGTCCAGCTCATGTACCAAGTAGCGAGGTT